AGCATAAAAAGTAAAGTAAAACATGAAATACCAAAATAAAACAATAAAATAGTCATTACAAAAATGTTATGCTGATATTCAGTAGTAAAGTTCGACATGTCCATTTCGACTTACGACCGGTCGTAAGTCGGATGGTAGGTGTATATGTTCACAAGTGGGATGATATTATTTATACAATTATTACAACATTGCATGACAGTGAATCTTCTATTTTTTGGTTTGAATAAAAATTCATTATGCGAATTAAAAATCAAAATGGAATTCATTTGTAAAGCCTGAAAATGTAACAGATGAACAGAGGAAATGTTAGTTTAGTGCCAGGAATGCCTGCATTGTTTATTCTGGACCCTGTTTTGAAATTGGAATATTTTAAACTTTGCACTAAGCTGGCCAAATTACCAATTTCCAATCACTTTATTTTGTAGTTAAAACAGTTGAGTTGGTGATTTCTTGTGCTCATTTGATAGAATAAAAGTAATACTAGTGAAATAGCTAAGAATTTGGTCGACTGGAATAATGTAATTGGCCTAAAATGGAAGTCAAAGTTGGCAAAATAGCCGATTCGTAAATATCGCTGACACATCAAAATTCACGAGAGCATAATTTTGTCAGTTTTCCATCAAATTTCGCACTTTGTTTTATTACCTTCAGAAAAAGATTCTCTACCATTTCATAAGAAAAAATAACAAAATTATTTTTTGAAAATTCTTGGACCCTGGTGCACACTTTGAAATTTGACCTCTGGACCCTGAAAGGGTTAATGTAAAATGTTTTTTTCATATCTTTATTCTCCCTGAAAGGGTAAAAACAGAACTTAGCAGGCAATATGAGCTTGAGGCATCAGCTTCAAATTTAGAAAAAAAAAAAAAAAACGTACTACTTTACACAGTTTGCCAGTAGATGGAATTGGATCAGGAAGTTGTACATTTAAAGTTTCTAGTGGTCACAGCCACTAAAAACTTTAAATTTACAACTTAACTCTTTCAGGGTCCAAGAATTTAAAAAAAAAAAAATTATTTTTTTCTTATGAAATAGTAGAGAATCTTTTTCTGAAGGTAATAAAACAAAAACTACGAAATTTGATGGAAAATTGATGAAATTATCTCATGAATTTTGTGTCAGCAATATTTACGCATTGGCGATTTTGCCGACTCTTGACTCCCATTTTAGGCCAATTACATTATTCCAGTCTACCAAATTCTTAGCTATTTCACTAGTATTACTTCTATTCTATCAACTGAGCACAAGAAGTCGCCAAATCAACTGTTTCAACTACAAAATAAAGCGATCAGAAATTGGTAATTTGGCCAATGTAACGCAAAATTCAAAATATTCCAATTTCAAAATAGGGTCCAGAATAAACAATGCAGGTATTCCTGGCACTAAATTAGCATTTCCTCTGTTCAATAGTTGTTTTCAGGCTTTACAAATGAATTCCATTTTGAATTTTTATTCACAATGAATTTTTATTCAAATAAAAAAGTAGATTTACTGTTATGCAATTTTGTATAAATAATATCACCACATTTGTGAACGTATATTAGACCCACCAGCTGGTGTGTATTAGACGTGTAAGGTCATTTGTTTACTCTTGAACATCGGCAAAAATTTAACATTTCCGCTACTTTGAGCTCAGTTTCAAGCAATTTCCATTACTAAAGCCAATCAAAATCATCTCTATTTCTGTAATATATCTTCCATCCTATCAAATGAAACCAAGAAATTGCAAATACAATTATAAAAAAAACATACGAAAAAACACTGCAAAGTCACTGTTTTAATTGAAAATTAATCTCGTTTTTTTTTTTCTCTCGTTATGCACTGTGTGCTGCAGGATTTGTTTTATGTAGTACACACATACCGCATAGATGTATTCTCTCATATCTAGGCCCAAATTTACCGCTCACAGCTTATCAGAGTGAGCTGAGCTCATCGCGCATATCTACAGTTTGGACCCTCGACTAAAAGCTGTAGAACTACAGCATGGACCCTGAAAGGGTTAAAGGTGAGACAGCTAGCAAAAGTATTGAAATATAAGTAGGGGGTGAATTTACACACAGATATTTGGGAGTGGTTATATCAGATGGCACTATAAAAGTTGAGGCAAACCATAGTACAGTAGGGCCCCGCTTTATGGGGTTTCACCTTATGGCATTTTGCTAATACGGTGATTTCAAATTATGACCAAAACTTTCTATACGGCGAGCGGTCTTTCAAATACGGCATGCGCCACCCATTTTTTTTAGTCTCTGTGAGCACATATATCTATTATGTCTGGAAACTTTCCAAAATTTCAAGTGTTTTAAAGTTATTGTATGTTTTGCGAGTGTTCTGATAATAATGCTTTGTATATGTACCTACATATACGTATTTACACAGTGCTGGCATGCAGTTACACATTAAAATCACTAAGAGTGCCCCTCTAGTATTAACGCTATAGTAATATTACATAATAATAATCACTCTTGGGCATATTAAATGTCTTATTTTACATCAGTATGGACCATACCACGGGCAGGAATAGAACCCGCTATCAGAGAATCTCAAAACTCCAGACCATCGCGTTTGTTTGCAATCGTGTCATTACGATTTTGTGAGTCAATATGGACGTTTTCATTGATTCATCCATGATATTTTCTTCAAAAGTATATAAGAAACACATTACATAGCATATAAACATGTTATGTTTATATGGCGGGTGGACGGAGAGCATTGTTTTCTCTGGTCCACCAAAAAAAATGTGTATGAATGTGTTTGGCCTAGTCACTCCCCCACTCCACTTGTGTTTACAATTCTCGGCATGAATTAGTCATTACTTCTTCCTTTGTTTATGATGGCATCTAAAGGTAGTTGTTAGAAATTATTAAATTCAGTGAACAAGGTATGTTGATGATAATATGGCTCTGGGCTGCATTAAATATCGTACAGCTATGTAGCCCAGGCTACCTACATTGACTTCCTACAAATAACTACTACTCACCTCTTATCCTACATTAATTAACTCTGACTGTTTCAGGCCCCTTTCTGAAACTGTCATTCTATGTCGCTCAATTTTTGAAAAAAAAAAAATTATTTTTTCTTATGAAATGATAAGAGAATCTTTTCCCGATGGTAATGACACCAAAAGTTCAAAATTTGGTCGAAAACTCGTGGAATTATGCTCCCGCGAAGTTAGCGGTCTCGGCGACATATGCATATCGGCGATTTCGCCGACTTTGAGCCCTATTTTCAGCCAATTCTATTGTTCCAGTTGACCAAACTCATAGCTATTTCTTTAGAACTCCATTTTATCTATCAGCTGAGTACAAGAAACCTCCCATTTACTAATTTGGACTACCCAATATGGTGGTCAGAAATTGGCAATTTGGCCAATTTCACGCAAACTAAAAAAGATGCCAATTTCAAAATAGGGTCCAGAATGAACAAGGTAGACATTCGTGGCACTAAAATAACATATGCTCTGTTCATTAGTCACATCTCTAGGCCCCTCTTATATTATTATTGCTTTCTATTTTGATTTTTTATTCATACAAAAAAATACAAAATTTACTGTTATGCAGACTACTGCATTATTGTAAAAATGGTATAAATAATATCAGTGCACTAGTGAAAGAATATTAGACTTCCCAGTTGATGTGTATTGGACGTGTGGTGTGATTTATTTACTCCTGAACATTGGTAAAAATCGAACATTTCCGCTACTTTGAGCTCAGTTTCAAGGTCGTTTTCATCGTCAAAGTAATAAAAATCATCTCTATTTCTGTAATATGTTTTCCATTTTATCACCTAAGACCATGAAAACGCCAATACAACAATAAATACTATACAAAAATACACCTCAAAGTCGGCGTTTTATTCCAAAAAAAAAAATTTTTTTTTTATTACGCAATGTGTGCTGCAGGATTTTTTTTTATGTGGTGCACACTGACCACACACTCATTCTCTCACATGTGGGCCTACCAGCTTTCTCCCGCTTGATTTGAAGCCGCTAGAATTATTGAGTATATGTACGTCAGAAACGTTGGCTCGTAAGACGTATTTATACGTCGAAAACAGTCAAAACGTTAATATAATTTAGTGTAAACTTCTTGTCTGGCATTTGTATGCATTTATAAATGGAAAAAATGGCGTTCTGCTTTCCGGCAATAGCCTGGAACCTAACCTGCTTTATAAGTGGGGCCCTACTGTATAGATAAGTGGGGTAAAAAGTGGGTGGTGCATTAATGTTTTTTTTTCTACAGATATTTTGTCTGAGGGAAAAGAAGGGAATGTACCAGAGTATAGTGGTGCCAACACTTTCAAATAGGTGTGCTGCAGCAAAAAGGAAGCTAGTGGCAGTGGAGCCATTGTGTTGGAGCACTGTTGTGTGAATATAATGCAGAGAATTTGGAGTGTAGAAATTAAGAGCCCCCTAGGAGGGGTTGGACAAGGAGAAGTTGACAAAGAGGTATATAAATCTGTTGTAGGAGGGGTACAAGAGGCTTAGACTTTTAGGAGCTTAAGCTTCCATCAGGCTTGTGTGACAATATTAGATGAAAGTAAAGGGAGAGAGACAGACAGACTTGGTTTTAAAGGCTGTGCAGGGTAACCTATATGAAGGGATTCAGGAAAAACCAGTTAGCTGGACTTGAGTCCTGGAGGTGGGAAGGGTAATACCTATGCTCTGAAGGAAAAGCAGGTTGTTGAAATTGGTGTAATCTGATTGTCAACATATTTTTGGAGAGATGGCAATTGAATGAATGTTGGCGAGTGTGTTTTGGTCACCCTGCCTTGGCAGATTTCTGTAATTAAAAAAAGTGCATGTACATATTTTTCTCCTAATGAAGTGAGAAATAAAAGACAGAAATGCATTTTATGAATGTGCAGAAAGTTGCATTAAGTACTTTAGGTGGGACTTAAAATATTTACTCCCATTTAATGGCATGAAGCTGACGAATAGCACTATATATACAGTTTGTTGTAGAGTATGTCATTAATTATCTGCTTGGGTTCTTTTGCAGATGATGTTGAGCCTAACAGTTTGCGATCAGCAAATGTGAGTCAGATGGAGGTAGTTTTAACTCAGGCAGTAGACTTGTCGGCAAAATATTCAACAGAGTGTTCTCATTCAGAGAGCAACAAAGATCCACCCACTGCTTCAACTCTGAATGTCAATGGCGTCCATGTGACAGAGAGTGACGAAAGCATTGGTGGAAAGTGGAGTAGTGACGACCGTCTAAGTCAAACCTGTAGTACCAGCAGTGGACAAGGAAATGAGAGTTCTTCGAAGTCATTCCCAGCAGACAGTGAAGATGAGGCCCGTTTCTGTATCGAGAGTTCTGATGGTGGTGCACCTGTCCCACCACCAGAGGTTATTCCTATTACAGGTTAAAAATACACATTTAAGCATAAAGAGTGGTATGACTATGAATAATAAATGTATTATTTAACACTGAGAAAAGCAAGAAAATGTCAATTGGGTGAACAGTTTTACAGTTAAAATATTAAACAAAAGCTACAATTAGGCCTCAGTGATTACTCTCATAAATGATACATTTTCATATCAAAGTAAATTGTGATAGTTGCAGTTTGAATAGCACATCAGGTAATATATGCCTTTTTTTCCAGTCAGGTTTGCATTCATGATCTCTTCCACATAGAATGCAATAAAAGACGAAATTTCAGTTGTCAGGTTAAGCAGTAGCCATTTCTAGCAGCATATTATATTTAAATGAAATGTGATAAGCTGGCACTCTTTTAGGTAGCCAACCCGTTAGCCTAGCACCAGTTCTATTTCATAATCTGCAACAGCAAATGCTGCAGTGCTTTTGAGAAAAAATGGCAACACTGCTATATTGCTTAAAAATTATACTTTACAACAGGACTAAGTGTGTAAATAAGACAATGTGTGGGTTATAGTATTTTATTATGAAGAGCTTTTATCCACCAGGGACTATAAATTTATGAATTGATTGTCCCTTGTGGACAAAGTCTTCAGAGTAAGTGTTGTGACCCCCCACATTCTTATTTACATGCACCGTATATTCTACCATTGTACTACCAGGACTAAGTGTATCTGTACTGACTCTGGTTTAGTGCTTTTGAAGGTACTGTTGTCAGTTCTGCTAGTGCTTGCTCAGTGACTGGGGAAAAAATTGTCTAGCGAGTGATAAGTGAATGTGTTGATTAAATTGGTTGAGTGTTTATATACTGATGAAGATTTTTTCATTATGCAAGCGCCCTTAACCTATGCTAAAATATTATCATTCATGGTCATAAAAGAAGTGTTAGTGATAAATTTTAGTATTGTCAATTTCTTCAGAAGACTACACTTTCAATAATTTTATTCTACTTTTTTTTATTTGACAAAGAATAAGGTGTAGGCAAAGATTATTTGCTATAGCAGTGGCTGCTACATTGGCAACAATAAATACAAACCATACAGTCTTGGCTTGCTGACTAGGGCTTTGTCATAGTTTCAAGTCATGTTTGCCCTCATTCCAAGAGGGGCTATTCAATAAGGCTGTTTCCAGAAATGTATCCATGATGATGGGTGTAAAACAGATTTTGCAGCAAGTGAAATGGACACTAACACCAGGGGGGGGTGAAGGTGAGCATTGTACCAGTGCTTTTGTTAGAAACTTGTGTAAGGTTGTCTTTTTTATTTATTTTTTCTCCTCCTGGATGATGCTTATACACTGCTGTACAAATGGAGCCCTGGTTCAGCCAATTTTTTAGTGATATTTGAAATGAATGCTATTTTTTAAGGTGAGGGATTCAAATAGTGCAAAACTTTATAATTAAGTCTGGGCCTTACCTTCATTTTTACCACAAGGTCAGAAAGTTTTAATGGACTATTTCATAAGAGGATTTCATGCTTGATGCCTACAGGAGTACTTAATAATGAAACTGTCCAAAAAAAAAAAAAAAAAAAAAAAAGCTGTTTACCTCTTGCTCAAAATACATGTATTAGGATTTGGTAGCAAGGTTTAGAGATTAATTCACTGTCAAGAATTTGAGTAACTTTCATCCCCTAATGTGAAGAGATGCATGACAGTGAGCAAAAGATAATGACAGTGCAGCAAGAAAATATAAAGGGCTGAAGAGTATAATAATGGTTTTGCATTGCAAATGTTTAATGTACTTCCCTTTCTTAATACTTGAGGGAGTCATGAGGTTCATCCTGTAGTTCATCACTGTGGTTAAGAGCTGTGTTCATCCTCATTGTTTAACACAATTACTTCTTGTATTTTGTGCCTCATTGTAACTTTTTTATGAATTATTCATCCATTGTTTAGCTTGTAAATAATGATATACCAGTTGGTGACTCCTTGTACATAACAATGTATTCCTTGACCCAAGTATAATAAAAGATTTAATAATTATCACACATGCATTTCAGTTTGTATCATTTAAATCTTTACATATGCATGTTATTGTAATCAAAAAGAAGCACTGAACCTGTATATTATTATTATTATTATAATCAAAAAGAAGCGCTAAGCCACAAGGGCTATACAGCACTGAACCTGTATAGAGTAGGTAAATAATGCACTAACACATGGGCACTATCTTTTGGGAAAAAAATATATTATTAACAGATCTGCCAATTCCCACCAAAGCAGGGTGGCATTAAAAAGAAAAACTTTCATCATTCACTCCATCACTGTCTTGCCAGAGGGGTGCTTTACAGTTTATAAAACTACAACATTAACACTCCTCCAGGGTGCAGACACTGTACTTCCCATCTCCAGGACTCGAGTCCAGCTTGCCGGTTTTCCAGAATCCCTTCGTAAAAGTTACTTTGTTCACACTCCAACAGCACATCAAATATTAAAAACCATTTGTCTCCATTCACTCTTACCAAATATGCTCACACATGCTTGCTGGAAGTCCAAGCCCCTCGCACACAAAACCTCCTTTACCCCCTCCCTCCAACCTTTCCCAGGCCAGTCCCTACCCCACCTTCCCTCCACTACAGATTTATACACTCCAAGTCATTCTGTTTTGTTCCATTCTCTCTACATGTCCGAACCACCTCAACAACCCTTCCTCAGCCCTCTGGACAACGGTTTTGGCAATCCCACACCTCCTCCAAACTACAAATTCTCTGCATTATATTCACACCACACATTGCTCTCAGACATGACATCTCCACTGCCTCCAGCCTTCTCCTTGCTGCAACATTAATCACCCATGCTTCACACCCATATAAGAGCATTGGTAAAACTATACTCTCATACATCCCTCTCTTTGCTTCCAAGGACAAAGTTCTTTGTCTCCACAGAGTCCTAATTGCACTGCTCACCCTTTTCCCCTCATCAATTCTATGATTCACCTCATCTTTCATAGACCCATCTGCTGACACGTCCACTCCCAAATATCTGAATACATTCACCTCCATAATCTCTCCCTCCAATCTGATATCCAATCTTTCATCGCCTAATCTTATCCTCATAACCTTGCTCTTTCCTATATTCACTTGTAATTTACATACCCTACCAAATTCATCCACCAATCTCTGCAACTTTTCTTCAGAATCTCCCAAAAGCACAGTCATCAGCAAAAAGCAACTGTAACAACTCCCACTTTGTGTTTGATTCTTTATCTTTTAACTCCACGCCTCTTGCCAAGACCCCCGCATTCACTTCTCTTCCAACCCCATCTATAAATATATTGAACAACCACGGTGACATCACACATCCTTGTCTAAGGCCTACTTTTACTGGGAAATAATCTCTCTTTCCTACATACTCTTAACCTGAGCCTCACTATCCTCGTAAAAACTCCACTGCTTTCAGTAACCTACCTCCTACACCATACATCTGCCACATTGCCCCCCTATCCACCCTGTCATACGCCTTTTCCAAATCCATAAATGCCACAAAAACCACTTGACCCTTATCTAAATACTTCACCTATATGTTTAACTGTAAACAGTTGGTCTACACACCCCCTACTTTCCTAAAGCCTCCTTGTTCATCTGCTATCCTACTCAACATCTTATTCTTAATTCTTTCAATAACAACTCTACCATACACTTTACCAGGTATACTCAACAGAATTATTCCCCTATAATTTTTACACTCTCTTTTATCCCCTTTGCCTTTATACAAAGGGACTATGCATGCTCATTGCCAATCCCTAGGTACCTTACCCTCTTCCATACATTTATTAAATAATAGCACCAACCACTCCAAAACTAATCCCCACCTGCTTTTAACATTTCTATCTTTATCCCATCAATCACAGCTGCCTTACCCCCTTTCCTTCTACCCACTGCCTCATGAACTTCCCCCCACACTCACAACTGGCCCTTCCTCACTCCTACAAGATGTTATTCCCCTTTGCCCTATACACAAAATCACAGCTTCCCTATCTTCAAGAACATTTAACAATTCCTCAAAATATTCCCTCCATCTTCCTGATACCTCTAACTCTCCTCTCCTATTTTTAACTGACACATCCATTTGTTCCCTAGACTTCCTCAAGTTAATCTTGCTCCAAAACTTTTCTTAATTTTCAAAAAAATTTGTTAACATCTCACCCACTCTCTCATTTGCTCTCTTTTTACATTGCTTCACCACTCTCTTAACCTTTTTCTCTCCATATCACTTCTATTTTGTAAAAACCTCTCATATGCTAACTTTTTCTCCCTTACTACTCTCTCTACATCATTCCACCAATCGCTCTTCTTCCCTCCCGCACCCACTTTCCAGTAACCACAAACTTCTGCTGAACACTCGAACATTACATTTTTAACCCTTAAATGGTCCAAATGTATATATAAGTTCACTCACGCAGTGCCCTGAATATTTAAAAAAAAAAAAAAAATCATTTTTTTTCATAGAAAAAAGAGCACATTTTTTTAAGTGTTTTAGAATAAAAAAAAAATTAGGGTCAGTACTTACAGAGATATGAGGCAGAGAAGTTGGCACTGGATGCTCATGTAACAGCAACATGGAGTCCTGCCGCTTGCAGAAGTGTTGCCGATATACCTATTTTTCTATTTTTCATATTATTTTATATAATTTTTATGTTCTGATAATTACAATTTATAGTAGTTCTTGTCATTTCATAACCAATCTTTGTTCTGACATTAGTATTAGATACTGAAATTGTACTCAAATTGTCACAAACACATTGACAGGTAGACATTTACACCTGCCTTGGTCATTTACTATTGTCTTGGAATACATACAAAGTATTTATAGGTCCCAGCAATGTTTTGGATATGTGGAAGTATATAATATTAATGAGGAGGAGGAGGATGAGAAGAAGAATATGTAATAATAATAATAGGTAATAATAAGTTTCCTTGAAGCATGAAAAACAAAGTCCACCCCTGACAATGACATGATAAGATGAGATAACATCTGATAAGAGCTGACGTTTGAATGAGCATACACGAGGGTGGGGGAGGGTGCAGCTGATAAGAAAAGATTAGAGGTGATATTGGATAAGCATCCCCTCCCTTTGTAAGGAACATATAAAAGACCTAGGAATAATTATGTCAGTGGACCTTTCTCTTAAAGACCATAACAAGACAAAGATCACGACAGCCAGGAAGATGATGGGGTGGGTATTGAGAACTTTCAAAACAAGGGAAATAATGCCGATGGTGACACTCTTCAAATCGCTAGTGTTCCCTCACTTAGAATATTGCTCAGTGCTGACAGCCCCGTTCAAAGCAAGAGAAATATCGGAGCTGGAACAAATACAGAGATCGTTTATGGCTCACATTGAGCCAGTAAAGCACCTAAACTACTGGGAATGCCTGCAAGTCTTGAACATGTACTCATTGGAGCAGAGGAAAGAAAGGTACATGATAATATATACCTGGAAGGTGCTCGAGGGCTTGGTCCAAAATCTGCACACTGCCATGACAACATAATGGAGTGAGAGATATGGGATGAAGTGTAAAATAAACCCAGTGAGGAGCAGAGGTGCAGTGGGAACAATAAGGGAACACTGTATCAACATCCGGGGTCCCAGACTTTTCAACATCTTTCCAGAAGATATCAGAAACACTGCTGGAACAAGTGTAGAAGCCTTCAAGAGGAAACTGGACAAGTATCTTCACCAGGTGCCAGATCAACCAGGCTGTGATGGATATGTGGGGCAGCAGGCCTCCAGCAGCAGCAGCCTGGTTGACCAGGCAAGCACCAGACGAGCCTGGCCCATGGCCGGGCTCAGAGAGTAGATAAACTCTCGAAACTCTTCAAAGGTATATCAAAGGTATAAGGTAAAGGTACCTTTTACTCTTACTGTAGCTACAATTAATTATTATTATTATAATAAAAAAGAAGCGCTAAGCCACAAGGGCTATACAGCGCTGCAGGGTAGGGAAGGAAGCAAGGGAATTGGATGGCAGAAGGGAGGGGGGATGATCAGCAGGTTACAGAAAACAGCGGGGCAGGGGATAGTACGGGGGTAGAGGGTAGCAAGAGATTGAAGTAGAAAGAGCTGAAGGTATCAGAATTTGTGAAGTAAGTCAGTTGTCAAAAAGTCAATGAGAGAGTCCGGATGAAAGGTGGGTCCATCAGCGAGAAGGGAAGGTAAAGAGAGAGCAGCGGAGCGAAGACGACGACAGAGGTAAATTCTGTGTGCTCGTTGATAAAGTGGCCAGTCCAACAGAATGTGGCTGACTGATAATGGAGCTTGGCAATTCTCACAGAGAGGAGCAAGACGCCTCTCCATGAGATATCCACGAGTAAGACGAGTATGGCCAATGCGAAGACGGGAGAGAGTAGTCTCCCAACCTCGACACTGGTGATAAGAAGACGGCCAGTAACCTATACTCGGTTTAACCCTTTGAGGGTTTTGGTCGTACTAGTACGTCTTATGCGTAGGGGTTTTTGTCGTACTAGTACGCATAAATTCTAGCGGCCTCAAATCTCACAGGAAAAGGCTGATAAGCCTAGATGTGAGAGAATGGGTCTGTGTGGTGGGTGTGCGCAGTAGGAAAAAAATCTGGGACCCAGTGGTGCATTGTGGGAATGCCATCATAGTACACAATTTCCACCGTGCCCTGTGGTAAGAAGTTCCTCACTCCTCGGCGAATTGGGACACTTTTGTTCCCCAGTGACAGTTCTAATACAGATGGAAGTGACAGTGAAGATGAGTTTCAAGGTTCTGGTGAGGTTTTGACCGAAACTAATGACCATAATATGGGTAATAGTGAGGAAAACCCAGACAACCCACAGCCTTCCACCTCTGGTGCTGGGCCATCTTGTTCACGTTCAGTTGTACCAGAATCAAAGAGGAAACTCCTATTTTCCAAAATCCCAGACTCAGATGTGAGCATTGGTGATGATAGTGATAGTGATTATGAACTACAAGCTCTTCAAACTTGTTCCAAGAATGGAGGAGGAGGAGGAGGCAAGAG